ATTCAGCAACAGGTAAATACTTAATATCACTGAAAAACCGTCACTTTCTGAAGATTCCATAAAGAAAAAAAAATAAGAAAAACAGTTAATGAGAACTAGTCAGTCTTGACTCATCAGTTATGGCAGTTTTTCACTTAAAGGTCAGAATCCTCAACTGGCATCAGTTAAAGCAGAGCTACTAACTGGAAAGAGCAATACAAAATGAGGTCCTGCCCCCTGTCTTCCTTAGATCAGATAACAAGCAAAATTTAGGGCAGTGGGAGCATGAGGATTTTGGAGCAGGAAGAAGTCTGTGCTACAATATTTTATCTTCCACTGAGAAAGAGAAGTTAGAGTTCAGTGAATGCTCCCAATCTTAGTGTTATCCCCTTCTTCTCTTTTCCGAAGACAACACAGATGAAAGACACCTGGTGTCTAGTCATTCTGCCTAAGTCTGAGCTCAAACAGAAGAGAGAATATGTCTCTTCCAGGCTGATTATCTTCTGTCTTCCTCCTTTTATCAAGATGCAAGGTACTGAGAATAATGAAACTTCCTAGTGTAAGCTATCTTGTTACATGTGCAGAAATGATTGAAGAAGAGATGGACAGAGTTTCAATCAGGGAAGACAGGAGTGCTCAAAAGACCCAGTGGAAAGAAATCTGTATTATATGACTCAATAGTCCACTATTATAAACATAACATTTTAACAATGATCCATGTCAATACTCCCTGTGATATTAGTGTGCTTTCTTTTACTATTTTCTTCTCTCTTCAATCTTTCTACCATTGCCTTTCTTTGCCTACCCCATGCTTCCCTATGCACATTTTTGCAGATTTTTTTTAACTTCTCTGTCAGCCTTCCTCTGACAATCTGAATGAACAAACTGAACAAACTTTGAAGGACAAACTGAGCCCCTTCTTTATTCACATTTTCTTTTGCTTTACTTATTCATCTTTGTATTTCCTTTTCATGGTTTAATGGGAGCACTGGCGTAGCCTTCTTCTTAAATGATACCAAGTTGTCTGTGTGTGAAGTACTCTGCACATACTCCAATAGGGTAAATATGATAGCAGCAACCATCTTCCCAAATAGTTATTTTGGGAAAGCTTTTATCAGAGGAAAAAGGTGATCTCCTATTGACGTACGTTTTCATCTTTAGCAGCTCACATACTCTAGTGATGTCATCCTCTGGCACTAAGTGCAACTGAAAAAAAAAGGCTGTCCTTGAGGTACAAAGCCTGAAGGATGTTAGTTTTTTAAAAAATTGAAGTGGCATTTATTTCTCTAATATTCAGTCTGAACTTCCCAAACGACAGCATGTAATTGTTGTCACTTTTTCTGTTATCTGTCACCTTAGTAACTGTCCTTAAAAATATTTATAGGCCATTGTTAAGAGTGCTCCTTAGCCTCTTCTTCACTGTATTCAACAAGCACAACTTTCCATGTCTACTCTAACTAGCTGTATCCTGAAACAGGGGACCCGGAACTGGGTACAGAATCAAAGACAGGGTCTTACCAGTGTAAAGCAGTGAGGGAACTTCTCTTAACTTCTCTTGATCTGCTGGCCAATTCCACTTAACGTAACTAAGTTTGAGGTTTCCTTTTTTTTTTTTTTTTTTCAGTGATATCATGATGGGCCATATTCATCTTGGCCCTGCTACCACCCCATAACTCCATGGTGCTTTCCATCAGGACTCCTAGGCATCTCAGCCAGTACTGATGCATGGAATTACACTCAGATACAGAATTTTGCATTCATTTAAGATAATGACAGAACTAGGAATGAGCCTGTGTCTTCTGTGGAGCAGCACAGTATTATTACATGAAGAAAGACTAAGCAAACTAGGTCTGCTTAGCCTGGAGAAGAGAAGATTGAGAGGAGATCTGATTAATATGCATAAGTACCTGAGGGGAGAATGTAGGGAGGATGGGGCCAAACTCTTCTTGATGGTGGCAAGTGATAGGACAAGGGGTAATGGGTACAAGCTGAAACACAGGAAGTTCCATCTCCATGGGAGGAAGAACTTCTTTCCTGTGAAGGTGCCAGAGCCCTGGAACAGGCTGTCCAGAGAGGTTGTAGAGTCTCCTTCTCTGGAGATCTTCAAAACCCGCCTGGATACTACCCTGTGCCACGTGCTCTAGGTGTCCCTGCTGGAGCAGGGGGGTTGGACTAGATATCTCTAAACATTTGTCAGATTTTCAAAAGAGTTGAGGACCAAAAACCTCTTTCTTCCCTGTGCTAGAAACAAGGAGACAGTAAGGCATTTCTGGTATCTGATAAGCACCAACAAAGAGTTCAGGGTTGAGCAGTCAGACATCATGTATTTTGCCATAGATATGGAGAAGAGCAAGGGTAAGTTAGAGTTCAGGACAAGTGGCACAAGATTCATGTCAAATCTCTCCCTGTCACTTGCTGAGTGCTTTTGAAAATTTGATGCTTCATCTGACTGAAGAGTGATTGAGGTGTATTGAGAAATACAGACTCAGTTGTCAAAGAACACTAGAAAAACTGTCCTGGATTTTTTTTTAATCTACTTATTCTCCAAAAAGAATAATGATTTTGCTGTAAATGGTATCATTAGGCTACGTTTGGCTATGTGTATTACCTGAAAATAGAGAATCTACAGTAAAACATGCAGGTCAATCTAAATTCATGCTGATTAAAATTTCATACACTCACCACCAGATACTCACAACATGGCAGAGAAATATATGTGACAAAGATTGCAGAGATTTAGTTCTTACTCATTAGATTTGTTTCCTTATCCCTCCACCTAGGAATCAAAGCACTGAAAAAATTAGTAGTTGTGTGAACTAATGAAAGTTTTAGAGTTGTTAGAATAAGAAGAAAGTAATAGCAGAAAATAAGACTTTTGAATAACTGAATGATCAAATGGCTCTACAAAGTACCTCATGGAGGTCCAATCTCTGGTCATATGGCATATATTTCTATGACAGACTCTGATATTCTGAAATGTTTTTATATGATGCCATCACTCCCTACAAGGCATATTGTCATCTGTCATTTGGCATTTCAGTGTATCACATCACCTTATGCTTCCCTGGGTTGCTCACTTTTATGTGATTTATCACACATCTCTGAAACTTATTTTTATACCTACTGATTCTATGGAAGGACTGTGTGCCGCCGTATATTGAAGGCGAACTGAAGGTGATTCTTAAGCCCAAGGGAGAAATTTGTTCATTTAATTTCCTTGACCCCACTCCCTCATCAGTTCACTGTGGGAGGATAATTTTGCTTTCTGCTCCTTAATTCACATTCCTTGTCCCCATTCCTGAGTCCCCAGGAACAGTTCAGTGTCCTATGTATGCAAGAACTTCCTGTTTCTCTGACAGTTCTTGAGGGAATGCCAATATTCTAGAGGTCATTTGAGGATAAAATCTTCCTCCCTCCCCGCCCTCCCCCCCAAAAAAAAAAGGAGGTAGGGGGCCAAAATTTCAAGAATCCAAACCTATCCAAATCAGAGATTGATGTAGCATCTGCACTGGTTATATGTCTAAAGTCCTAAACAATCTTTCAGACTTTTTTGGGCTTCCATTATCACTCCCAGAGGAAATGATTTTCAGAGAGCAGCTGGCCCTTGAAATCTTGAGTGCAACACATATACGCACAGCCCTAGCATTATTTTCTCACTCCATATACATACATACATACATACATACATATATATATAAAGAGTAGGCTGGAGATTGAGCTGGAGAAAGCGAAGGTGGAAAGCTAAATTATGTAATACACCCCCTCTCCCACCCTTACTCACAGCAAAACAAGTGAGGTAAGAGCAAGACAAACGTTCGTGGCAGGTAGCAATGCATTCCCAAGGAGAAAAATGTCACTAGGGAAATCTAAAAAGAACTCCAAAGCACTTTCACCCCCTTTCCCTCCCCATCAAGACCCCTTCCCTTCCTTCCTCTCTGCCTTCATCTCCTTCCTCTCGCTCCCCGCTTCTGCCCCCTCTCTTCTCCTCCTCATTCCCTTCTCCTCTCCTTCCCCACCTGCTCCCTCCGCCCCCAACTCTTTTCAGCAAGAGCTGTGTCCGGACCAGGACTATATTTTTGCAATTTAACAGTCCAGCACTACTGATGGAGCATGGCTCCTGCTGAAAAAAATCAAGTGAAACAGAAGCTGGAAATGTGCACTCACACACATGAGAAGAAAGCAGGTTTGCTCTTTTACTCGAAGAAACTGAAGCAGATTTCTTCCACTGCCCCATGAGACCTTTGCCGAGAGTCTTTGCAAAGAAAACTAGTGCTGCTTTAGAAAGGGGAAGAGAGAATGGGATGGGAAAGAAAAGAATTGCAAATATCCATATGAAAGAGAAACATTGTGCCAGTTCATGTAGATGTGTGGGTGCATGGATGTGAGAAAATATGTAGGCAATGATGAGGTTGGAGGGAGAGCTTGATATATTCTTTTATCGAGGAAAGACATGTGAATGCAATTCGCGGACAAGGACATCCAGCTCAGCCCAAGAGCAGAAGGGGGAGGGGAGAGGGAAGGGGGAGGGGGCTGCTATTTCTAAAGACATTCGCACAAAGAGGGTGGCAAATGCTGTGAGCATCTTTAAAGGAAGCTTTCTGGAGATCTAGAGAGAAAGAGAGAGAGAAGCCCAAAGAAGGAAAGAAAGGGGCTATGATTTCCTTGTCCTATTGCTTTGTCTCTGGCTCCCTCTGGCTCTGGAAGATTAGCCACAGGACGCAAAGATGCCCAGCTGGTCACTGCATGCCCAAGTTCAGTTTAGCTGGTGTTTCTCTCCTGTTTAGCCCTGCTTTCTCTGAAGGGGAGGACTCTCAGCCCGACAGCCCTTTAGTTTAACCTGAAGAGCGTGTTCCGCCTCTTTACCCATCCTAAAAGCTTGCTGGAGGTGGAGGAGCGAATTTGAAAGTGCCTGACGAATGCTGGATGCCAGACAGAGGCAAACGCTCCTGTGGACAAAGCAAGAAAGGACAGCACAGACTGATTTAATTGGTATTTTCCCTTTTTTTTTTTTTTTTTTTTTTCCCTCCCTATTCTTCTGGAGCTTTTTTGAAAACACAGCACAAACCAGAACACCAACCCCGAAGCCCCAACCCCTTGGCTAGCTCTTATGGGAATGAAACACTCCTCCCGCTGCCTGCTCCTCAGGAGGAAAATGGCGGAGAACGCCGCCGAGAGCACCGAGGTAAGGACACAAGCAGAGCCCTGCACCCTGGCCCTCGCAGGCTGGGCTGCAGAGCCTTCTGCAGCGCAGAAAGTGCAGGGGAACTTCCCAGCTCCTTCCGCTTTCCCCCGGCGCCGGTGCTGCTGCGATTTCCTGCATGTGCCCCCCTCACCCTCCGGTTACGTCCTCACGGAGAACTTCGCGCCCAGCGGACCCTTGTAGGTCAGGCAGAGGAGATGCTCTGTGGTGTGTATACAGGGGCCGGGATTTCGTGGTGGGGATAGTTATTTTGAGGGGCTGAGTGGGAAAAAAATATATATATATATTTCTGCAGCACCTTGGCCAGCTCCCAGAGTTTTCCGCCGGGAGAGAGCCGTGGAGGGCTTTTTGGCAGGAGCGCTTGAGGGGGTTGCAGAGAATGTGTTTCTGCAGCACTGTGGGTATCACAAAGTGGAGCTGCCCGAGGCTGGGGAAGGGCACAGCAGCTTTGCCCCGCGAGCCCGGCTGGCCCCGAGTTGTGCAGAGGAGTGATTTGCCTCGCACTGGGACTGAGATGGTGCCCTCAGAACTCTCCAGGTTTCTGGGAGAAAAGAGAGAAGCTGCATAATCCACCCTTCCCTCAACCTTTCCCATCTCAGTCGCAGGGGGGCTGAGCAGCAGGCTCAGTCCCTTTCCTCACGTTGCCTTGACTTCACAGAGGCTTCTCAAGGGACAGGCGTAATGTGCCAAGTCTTTTCCATATGTGGAAGGCAGCAGGATGCGGTCCCAGCCCCTGGGAGCGTATGATAGGGAGCCAGGCGAAAGCATGAGTGCACGCCAAACTCCCTGTTTCTATTAATAGCTTGTGCTTAGCATTCTGCCTCCACATTTGACATACGGTTACCCGATATGCAGCATGGCCATGTATGGACTCCCAGGGACGTTGCACACCAACCAGCTTCAACAGTTTTCCCCTCACATGCATAAATTACACTGATGTCCCTCCCCAGTTGCTCTGCAGAGATACTAAAGAACACAAGTATCACTCCAGTGTGACTGAGCACTTGACTATTCCATTATTCCTTCTTCCAGTCTACAGAGTCTCTGCAAAATTGCTCTTCCTGCCACAAAGTCTTCATAGTAGATACCCTGCTCCCTTGTTAATCTCACATTTTTCCTCCTAATGCTGCTATCTCTGCAAAGTAAGACATACTTGACCTTCGTAAACGTAAAAAATGCCTCTTTTGCCATGCCAGGTACAGAGCAGCATTAATGTCATTTAAGCAATAAATCAAAGAACATGCCTGTTACCACATTGCAGTCCCCTCAAGTACAGCTTGCAGAAAAGCCATCTATAAATAGCAAGGAGTCAGGCTACACAACTGTACACTGTCAAACTGTCCTAGTACTGACAGCAAATATTGTATTAAGGGTCCCAGGATCTCAGCAGTATTGCAAGTAGAAAGGTAGATTGACAAGCAGTTGTTTCCAGATTCATTCTTTGATAAAATTTGACCTTAAATAGCAACAGGGGTTCAGGTGAGAGGAGCTCTCTAAATTTTCCTCTTCTATTTCAACTCAGTATTTGTACCTATTGTTTAAATCCATTTGTCTTTCTGTTTGTGCAATGCTGTACACACTGCAATATGCTTTTACAGAAAAAGGCTTTCTTAACAACAGCAGTTTCATCCCAAGCCTGTATACCAGTCAGGAGAATATGCAAATAGCAAATGCTGTCTTACTTCTCCTTAAAGTATTTGTCAGTGACAGATTCATGAAATGAGGATGAAACTACTGCAGATTAGGCATCTTCTATTGTGCTTCTACATTTAGAAAGGCAGAGTCAATATGCTCATAACACCTAACAGAATGTTTTCTAGTTTATTAATTTTCAGGTAATTGATGTTAAGCTTTGTTTTTCTACTGAGAGGCTTAGTCTGAACAATTAGAAATGTACTAGAGAAAATATACCAAGACCTTTGCAGCTCTTGCACTAGTCAAGCAAAATAATATGATAGCAATTTGACCCTCAGGTCTATATTTCTTTAACTTTTTCCTGAAAATAGCAAATGTTGTGTGACACAAAGAATGTGAGACAAAGCATCCCACTTTTGGATTTATCACAATGAGGATTATATAGGAGGAAATTTAAAAACAGTATAAAATGCATCCATTTGAAACCAATGGGGCTTAACTGATACACACGATGATCCAATAATTATTACATAATATTAATATTATGCCATTATATATGCCAATATATGCCATTAATATTAATTATGCCATTGTAATAGGAAAAATAGGAAAAATGTCAGGTAGACATAGACAGATGAACCATTAAAACATCTAAGAGGTGATCAAAATTCTCCATTGCCAAAAGACTGAAAAACCTTCTGGATCTTAACTAGATTGATTTCAAGTTCAAATGAGACAATTAGGTACGTCACAACTTAAAAATAACAATATACAAGTTCATTGAAACCCAGCACAGTTGAAAGCAGATAAACCAAGCATTCAAGGTCTAGTATGGCATGTGTTCTGCTTCAGTAGTGGGACGGTTCACAAAAAATGTATTAAGACAAAGTATAGGCATATTGTATCAGAAAAATTTTGTTCACTTTATTAGTTCTTCTGTTGATCACAGTGCAAGGTTAATATCTGAAAGAACTTAAATAAAAGCAGAAAAGAAAAAAAAAACACATTTTAATACAAACTTCACAAAAAAAAAACGTTACAAAAGAGCAGGAAGCAATAGTTCCCAGTCAAGAGGACTCTTAATGCTATCAAGGCAGCCACAGAAGTGTGCTCTCAGATTTTACAGACATTTATATTATCAATATACCATAGTCTTATATTTTGATCCAAAGCCTCAATAAGTGTATGAAAATTTAGCCACTAGTGCTGTTGGGTCTTGGAACAGTCTTGGAATGTTTTTGCAATTTTATTCAGCAAGTATATTAGTCAATGTCTGCCAGCATTTCAACGAGGACCCTGAGGACCCTAAGTTTCAGTGGTTTTGTTGTTGTTGTTGTTTTGATGTGAGTGGTGTGTTTTTAGCAGCCTGTGAATAGTGCTTTTTGGAAAAATTAAACTCAAGGGTCATAAAGCCACACTTTTTTTTTTCTGTTTAGAATCTCTCTGAAGGCCTTAGAAGTGGCAACCTTGCAAGAAAGATTTCATTTCCTTCTTAGAGGAGTGCACAGCGAAAACGAAAAATATTCTGAAAATCTTAATTCCCCCAGATGATCCCATAAACTTCAAGAGAAGTTCCACTGGAGAAAAAAAAAAAAAAAAAAAGCTGTAGAATCACTCATTAAAATACAGAATTAATCTTCTGTATCTTTAGTCAAGAAAAAAGCCTTGTCTACATAAAACAGATTCCCTCTGGGAGTAATCAAAGATCATCAGACAGAAAACAAAATAGAAGAGAATTCTTTTTTGTACATATGCATGAAGATTCTCCCAAATTCACAGTGCTGATCTGCTGTGTATTTCAATTTCTGTTTGTTTTTTTTTCTTTCTTCTTTTTAATGTATCTGAGCATGCAGGCAAGTCATATTAAAAGTTAGTAATAATTAATATCCCTGATATCAGTGATGGGAACCAAACTGAAAGAAGTGAGTAGAAGTGTGCATAATTGTGGTTTGGGAACCAGTCAAGTTCCCCGTACCACTACAACCAGTACAAAACTCCACAGTTCATATGTACATACAACAGAGATATACATGCAATGGGTTAGCCTCTGCCAGAAATCATCATTTCCATACAGAAAACAAACAAAAAAACCTCTAGATTCTAGGATCTGAAAAGGGGCTCTTTCTGTACGACACAATTTCACATAATGTCACAAATTTCAGTGACATAATAAAGAGCAAGTCTTATGCTGAAAATTTTGCAATGTCTTTTGAGCAAAAGTATGCCTGTTGCATAGCTGAGAATAGAGAAATTAGGCAATTTATGAATGGTAGTGAAACAAACTTGGAGTTCTACCTGAATGTCCTATTACATAAATCTTCTTTTCTGAATTGAAAAGGACTACATTTTTCCTTTTGATGGTTTGGTGTATTGGGTATAATAGAAGAGTTGTAATTCTTCCCTATTCAAATGAATGTAATCTCCTCATGGAATACGGATCTGTGAAAGTATTTGCACTGTCATTTGGAGTGGGGAGATTACGCTGTCCTAGTTGCAGGAAAGCCAGTCAAACCACTACTAAGAGAAGAATAGGTCATGTTGCAGATAGTTAGGGTTCGGTGGCCAGAAGATATCGTGCTGTACGGAAATATGTTGAAATCATGAGCTCCTGCATGTGATTCATGAATAGGAATATGGTTTTCCACTCAATAAATTATCAAAGTATAACTTAACAGAGGCAGAGCAAGAGAAAGGCAGTGTGCCTAGCACAATATATTCATTTTATTCAATAACCTAAATAAAAAAAAAATCAGTAAAGTTCTGTTACCAGTTTTGCCAATGAATGATTTTAGGCATATAATCTAATCTCCTGTATCTGCGCATTCCCATACAGACTGTAGAATTATGGAATCTTTAGTAAAAGGTGCTGGAGGAGATAATTAGTTAGTGTTATTAACTTGCTAAGAACACCATATATGAAGTAGTAGGAGTAGGTGTTTTTTAACCAAGAGACAAGTAGCTCCAGTATGTAGTGTACTTCTCAGTTTAGTGGAAACCATGACATATCTGGCATGATGCCAGATAGCCAGCTGAAGAAGCACCTTATGACATGCCCTTCAGCTTCACTGAATAGTATTCCATATGCTAGCATGTCTTATTTTTAAATAGCAAAACATAGTGATAGCTGTTTTTGTGCAAGTAGTATAACTGTGCTATAGAGAGCAGACCTCTGGCCCAAGTTCTAGATCTTCTGCACTGCTGACGAGGCAGTCAAGAAGCTGACCCATCATGTCAGTGAAATATGATGTCACTGTATGCATAGTTAAATCCCCAAGTGCTACAGAGTCAACTCTGAGTCAAAGAAGGGTGCATAGCAGTTCATTTTTTATTATCCTGTGCAGTGCTCC